CGTCGGGCACCTCGGAAGCAGGCAGCCCCCCTGCCCAGAACGCTGCTAAGTCTGGCAACGGACCGCGAAGCGTCCCTGGGACAGGCCATCTGGAGAAGAGGGAACTTGCTCTTTCCCCGCTGGAGGGCGGGGCCCTATTTCCAACGGCACTTTTTACTGCCATGAAAACATTATGAAAGGGCACTTTTCACTTCCCCAGATGTGAAAGCCTGAAATCTGCCAGTCTGGGACGCTATGCTTTCTAGCTTGCAGATTCGGTGCGTTTCGCCAGTGGCTCACGAGCGCTGGGAGGACGATCTCCTTTCTCCCACCCCTCGAGCCTCCCCTCCGGAGCTCGGGTTTGGAGTGAGAGCAAATATCTCACCTCCAGCTTTTCCGTGGGACCCGCGAGCTTCCCGGATCAGCACACCCACTCCGCGCTGCCCCACTGCTGGTACGTCAGCGATTGTAGCGATGAGTCCATTAGCGGGAGCTCTGCCTGCCTGGTTAGCGCGGGCCAGCTCTTCGCGGTGGCTCATACGCACAATCAGACGCGGCTATGCGATTCAGTTCAGAATGCTCACGCAGAAGCGCATCCTCCGGTGCATTCGTCCTCTGGGTTGGTCTGCAGCATTAGACCTGATGGACGCGTATTTCCATGTCTCCACTCTTCCTCACCACCGACAGTTTCTGCGGTTTGCGTTTGAAGGTCGAGCTTGGCAATACAAAGCCCTCCCCTTCGAGCTCTCTCTGTCTCCGCGGGTCCTCACCAAGCCCGCGGAGGGTGCCTCAGCGCCCCTTCGGCTCGCGGGCATCTGCATACTCGATTTCTTTACGACTGGCTGATTTTTGCCCTCTCTCGGAGCAATTGATTATGCACAGAGACAAAGTGCTCTGGCACTTCCACCTGTCGGGGTTTCAGGTCAACCGTGAAAAGAGCAAACTCGCCCCCGTGCAGAGGATCTCTTCTCTCGGGCTGGAGTTGGACTCGGTCACCATGGCAGCGCGCCTCTCCGGAGAGCGCGCTCAGCTGATGCTGTACTGTCTGAGAGAGCTCGACAGTAAAATAGTGGTCCCACTGAAACTATTTCAGAGGCTCCTGGGGAATATGGCATCCGCAGCCGCTTCATGCAGCTCGGATTATTCTATATGAGACCACTTCAGCACTGGCTGATCACGATCGAGTCCCCAGACGCGCATGGCACGCACGCGCACACCGAGTCTCTGTTACTGCGCTGTGTCGCCGCGCCCTCAGCCCTTGGAGCAACCCCTCGTTCCTGCAGGCCTGGGTGTCTCTAGAACAGGCGTCCAGTCTTGTTGTCGTTTCAGCAGACGCTTCCAACACGGGCTGGGGGGCTGTGCGTTGCGGGCATGCGGCTGCGGACCTGTGGAAAGGTACCCAGTTGCATTGGCATATCGCCTGGAGCTGTTGGCAGTGTTCCTCGCTCTCCACCATTTTTTTCTGGTGCTGGAGCGGCAACACGTGCTGGTCAGGACGGACAGTACGGCGGCGGTGGCGTATATCAGCCGTATAGGGGGTATGCGCTCTCGCCGCATGTCTCAGCTCGCCCGCCGTCTGCTCCTCTGGAGTCATCCGCGGCTGAAATCGCTGCACGCCATTCATATTCAGGCAAGCTCAACCGTGCAGCCGATGCGCTCTCACGGCAGCCTTGCGTCCTGGAGAATGGAGACTCCACCCCGAGTCTGTTCAGCTGATATGGGCGCGATTCGGGGAAGCCCAGATCGATCTGTTGCTTCCCCCGAGATCGCTCATTGCCAGTTGTTCTTTCCCTGACCGAGTGCTCTCGGCACGGATGCACTGGCTTACAGCTGGCCTCGGAGCACCTACTCTCTCAGGGACAGGGCACCACCTGGCACCCTCGCCGATCTTTGGAGATTTTTAGACGCGAGGAAGACTTAGGTAACCTCCGATTGCGGTGGCTAATACCGTCACTCGGGCTAGAGCCCCCTCCCCGAGCGCGCCTATGCCCTGACGTGGAGTCTATTCACTGAATGGTGTGTCTCTCGCTGAGAAGACCCCCGTAATTTGCCAGATCAGCGTTGTGCTTTCTTTACGCCGAGAGAAGCTGGAGAGCAGGCTGTCGCCCTCCACACTCAAGGTTACGTGGCTGCCATCTCCGCTCTCATAACGCGGTGGCTGGCAGCACCGTGGGAACGCATAACCTCATCATCCGGTTCCTCAGGGGCGTTAAGCGAATTAATCCACCCCGCCCCCTCTCAAGCCCTCTTAGGATCTCGCCCTCGCTACACAAGCCGCGTCAGATCCCTTCGATCCTCGACTCAGTATCTTTCTGTCCCTGAAGACAGCTCTGCTGGTCGCGTTGATATCGATTAGAGGGTCGGGGACCCGGAGGCATTTTTCGGTCAGTGACTCGTGCCTGTAATTGGGCTGGCTTCTCTCACGTCCTGAGACCCCGCCCGCGATATGTGCCCAAGGTTCCTACCACTCCGTTTTAATACGAGGTAGTGAGCCTGCAAGCGCTGCCCTCGGAGGAGGCAGACCCAGCCCTTCTTTATTGTCCAGTTCGCGTTTTGCGTATTATCCGGACCGCACTCAGAGTTTAGATCATCTGAGCAGCTCTTCGTCTGTTATAGCGGTCGGCAGCAGGGAAGTGCCGTACCGAAATAAGTTCCCACTAGCTTGTGGATGCCTTTCTTTCACTATCAGAGCCGAGATGAGCCGCGTTCCCCGAGAGCGCGTGCGCACTCCACTCGGAGCTTCGCATCCTCTCGAGCGCGCGCACGCGGCGCCCCTCTAACAGACATCTGTAGAGCTGCGGGCTGGGTGACACCCAACACATTTGCAAGGTTTTACAATCTGCGAGTGGAGCCGGTTTCCTCAAGGGTATTAGGTAACCCTTGGTGATTGAGGAAACAATTCGGTAGGGTGTTGAAACACGCTTGCTGCGGCATTTTCCCTAACACGGAGATACGTGCGCCTTTTTATCTGTCAGTAAAGTTCCCCATCAGGTGAGCCCTGCAGATTCCTCCGTGGCCCCCAGCACTGACTCAGCGGAGGAGTCACTTGCTGGCCCACTACGTTGTAGGTCTGCCCGCTGGTCAGCCCGCGTTTTGGGTAAAGGTGCCTGCTATGCGTGATCCCCACTAGGCGATCCCATATGCTTATTCCGCCATGGTTAAGTCCCTCCTCGGGGAACGAAGGGTTACTTTAGTAACCTCGAATCTTATTTATAGTTAAGGATCGTCTGATAGGATAATCAGTCATTAGCTAAAGTTGGAACAGCTGTGAACAATCATAAGCACGTGATCCTCTCGAAATTTCTTTATGAATAAACTTCACTTATTATTAAAGTTCAGAGATTTAACTTATTTACCTCAAGAGTTTCCCTAAATGAAACGGTGAATATAAACCACCATGGACATCTTAATAAAGGAATAAACACATTAAGGGTCTTTATTTTCTAAAAATCGTATTAAAATCTGTTTATTTATATTGTGCTGCGTATATTTGTGGTGTATGCAGAGTAAATATTTTGAAAAGGGGAAAACAATAAATGGTTGTATGAATGCTGTAATGTTTAAATAATATTCTGTTAAAAAAATGTGAAGGTCATGTGACCATCAGGAAGAACGCAGCATCTTATTTCTCACATTCTCTGTTCTCGTGGTCACCTGAGTTCATTCTTCCGAGAACACCTGGCAAGACCGGTCTCCACAAGAATGCAAGAACATTCTCTGTGTACTTGGAATTGAGAAACTGCCAATGTCTCATTTAAATTACACAGCATAAATATTTTCGATATTTCCTATAATGAATCAATTAATCTGTGATCAACATAAAGACTTAAATCCCTGCTTCTCCTCATGTTTTCCTAGGGTTGTGAGTTCACACAGCAGCAGTGTAGACAGATCGCATTTGAGAGACAGTTTAGAGGCCATTCACATACTGTGTCTTAAACCACATGGATTTAGACATAATACCCTATTCCTGAATAAAAGGTCATTCCTCAGAGGCAATTTGCACGAGGAGTATGAAACTCAGTACCGAAACCCAGGTCCGGTCAGGCCACAGTTAAGAGCATATACTATTAATTACTACTGATACTGTAGCCATGTTGTCCATCATCACCAACATTTGTTTGCTCTCTAGAACCAGCCGAAATCAGTGGAGAGCAAGAAACAGTCCACAACTTCAGGTTATGACATGCCAATGCAGCTGGCCAATGTAGCTCATTGCACATGCCAGCTCCATGCCAAGATAAGAGATACTTTGCACCGGGGAGAGCTTGCCTTTCTCTCGTTGACTTGAAGCCCCAACAGGTCAAGGTGCCAAAGCACCCTGTCCTTGTGCACAATCAATTGATCCCAAGACTGACCTAAAACATGCCAGTCGTCAAGATAAAAGAAAATGCGGATACCAGAGAGCCAAAACTGCACCAGGACACCCTCTGCAGGTTGAGTGAAAATCCACATAGAGAGAGCTCAACAGGGAGAACACAAACCAGAGGAGAGGTCTGTAATGAAGGAGAATAGAGACATGGAAAATGTGTCCTTCAGGTCTATGGATGCAAACCAATCCATTGCTGCATTTTTGTGTGAGCATTCTCAACAGCATCTTGTGCAGATAGTGGTTCAGAATGTGCAGATCTAGGATTGGTCGTAGCCCACCACTCTTTTTGGCTATGATGAAGTATGGGCTGTAAAACACAAAACAAAGTGAAATGCAACCCTCTGAACTTTGGAGGCTGTCTAGTGAATTGAATCGCATAGCTGAGTCTGATTGTCTGAATGATCCATCTTGACAGGCTGGACAGCAGTAAACAAGCTAAAAGAGCCTGTATGTATTGCAATATCAGAATGACCATAGGCATACTCGTGCTGGGACAGTCCGGGATGGGAGTGCTCTGCTGAAAGGCAGTGAACCAGAAGAAAGAGGCTGGCTCTCACTCCCCTCCCAGGATTCCATGAGGAGCTGGAGTTTTAGGAGGACGTATAGTGTTCCCTATCACATTACAAATGTATGGTAATGTGCGTTGAGAATGCAAGTTGGAATGTAGTGTGTCCCAATCTGGCAACACCCAATCTTTCACATTCAGAAAAAAGGAAAATTCTCTTTTATTAAAAACTTGGGTGCTATCTGCCTAGAGACCAGCAGCAAGATGCTGTGACGGAAGAGCTGATGTAGAAGCTGCAGCAGGACACCCTTGTTCACCAGAAGATGATTTGGCCCAACGCATTTGTCTGCTCTTTCTCCGCAGAGAACTCCTGGGTAAAGTTTCTGACGGTGTTACCAAATAGGCTCACCTGGGAAAGCGAGCTTTGTCAATGTCTTATACCTGTATATCTGGTGGTCCGGGGTGGTGAGGGCGAAAGAAAGGATTGGGCAGAGAAAGGTTCCCTCTATACAAGGGGATGGGGCTTGAGTGTTTACCTCTTTCTTTCTGGCCCCCATGTAGCACTATCATATTGGATTCTATGTCCTGAACCACCTGTTAGGGTTGGGATAGAACCTGGGTCTCTGGCATGAGAGGTGAGTCACAAACCTACTGGGAGTCGATGAACCCAAAAAACAGAAGGCAACTTGCTTCTTTGTGGAAATTTATTGCTGACAAAAAAATCTTCAATAAGAGATAAAAGTAAAGTAAGGCATAAAGCAGTCTTCCAATATCCAAAAATACAAAACTCAAAAAAGGCAAAAAACAAACTCCAGAATAGTTGAACTCAAAAAACTCACAGAGCTTTTTTATTATTATTATTATTATTATTATTATTATTATTATACGTTCAAGTACAAACCATTACGGCATATACAACAATCCAATACTTATAGGGTTAGTGTTTATATAAAAGTACATTACTAGGAACATAACACACACACAAACAAAAACATAAATAAATACAATTAAATAAAAAGGAGGGGCGTGAGAGTCTTAATCAAGTAATAGAAACGAGTTCAAGGCATGTGAAAGTTTTCGGGCATTTTTGTTCCTCATGAAGTGTAGAGACCTTACGAGCATCTTCAGATCATTCCTCCATCCATTGAAATGGGGTTTCACCTTTACAAATTTACATCTATGAATAAAGTGTTTAGCTAGAATAATTAAATTGTTTACCAAAAAGTCTAGATCTTTGTCCTTTGAAAATATACCAATTTTGATTGAGACCACAGTTAAAGAGTGTATTTGTATCTGTTTGTAATGCAGCCAGTTTGAAATTCCATCCAAAAATGTTTCATAACTTTACAGTGAAAAAAAAACATATGTTCTACACTATCAATATCTCTCACAGAAACTGCATGAATTGTTTCCCCAGTTAAATTTTTCAAATTTAAAAAAATATTAGATGGGTATATGTCATTTCAAATTTTAAATACTACTTCTTTAGCCTTAGGATGAACCAGATACAATAATTAATGTTTCCTTATTTTTCTTGCTTCTTCTTCATTGAAATCTTATAGAACATATTTTCTCCTTAATTGACATGGAACTAACTAACAGAGCTTACCATAACAAACAGGAGACTTTACAAAGGAATGACTCACAAGCTTGGATCCACAATAACCGAGCAAAACACAGATAAAAATGAGACTACATAAATACAAGAAACTAAACAAGGCACATGTGAAACCAATGACAATGTTTATAAATACAAAAAGGAAAAGTATGAAATGACAACATCTAGTGGACAAAAAAGGATATTACAAGAAAAACTAAAATAACATGGGGCAAAACCCTGACACGCACCACTCGCACCCAAAGCTTGGATGGAGCACACCATGGAGGAGTGGGAGGTCTGTGGACCAGATAGAATCAATGGATTAGCCCCTACTGAAATCTTCAGACCTGTCCAAGTGCTCACCATGCTGCAGGGAGCAACGCGATCCTAGCTGCGCAACAGTCATGCCCTCGCAGTGAGGGATTAGAGAAGTGCTCAGCTCAAACACAGCCAAATACGTCATTCACCCGCTGGATGCAAAACTAGAGCTCTAGTAGGTCTCTGTAGCCGGGTGTGTCTTTTTTTTTCATTGTGTTGGCTCTGAATTGAAGTCTGACCGAGGCTTCTCCAGGTGCTTCTTTAATACTTCAATGAATAATAAGCCACACCTGTAAAGGAGCTTGTCTGCCAACTCCTAGAGATTCATTGGGGCATTTTCTTACTTTTCAGAGTGATTGGTCATCTGGCGATTCTCCATAATGTTTTCAACATAATGTTGGAGTTCCAGACTTGAAAGGGTACAAAAATTCAGCCACAGACTACAGAAAACAATATAAGCAAAGTGTGCAAATCATTTTTTACAGATGCAAATAACTTAGGGACAATGACTTGGCCGGCAGCTAGCTCTCTGCAACTCTCACATGGTCGCCCACTGAAGCTAAGCAGGGCTGCGCCCGGTCAGTACCTGGATGGGAGACCACATGGGAAAGCTAGGTTGCTGCCGGAAGTGGTGTTAGTGAGGCCAGCAGGGGGCGCCCAACCTGCGGTCTGTGTGGGTCCTAATGCCCCAGTATAGTGACGGGGACGCTATACTGCTCAGTGAGCGCCGTCTTTCGGATGAGACGTTAAACCGAGGTCCCGACTCTCTGTGGTCGTTAAAAATCCCAGGATGTCCTTCGAAAAGAGTAGGGGTTTAACCCCGGCATCCTGGCCAAATCTGCCCACTGGCCTTTGTCCATCATGGCCTCCTAACCATCCCCATATTCAATTGGCTGCATCACTGTCTCCTCTCCACCAATCAGCTGGTGTGTGGTGTGCGGTCTGGCGCAAAAATGGCTGCCGTCGCGTCATCCAGGTGGATGCTGCACACTGGTGGTAGATGAGGAGATTTCCCCCACTGTGTAAAGCGCTTTGAGTGCCCAGAAAAGCGCTATACAAATGTAAGGAATTATTAATTATTATTAATTACTATCATAGTTATCTTTTAATATTCCTATCCTTAATATGTATATATATATATATATATATATATATATATATATATATATATATATATATATATATATATGTATATATTATAGGGATACCTCAATTAAGCTGTCTAAAGTTGTCAAACTGTCAGTTAAGGATGAACTATGTTGTTAAAAACACATATTATCAATAAATTGTTTTCAACAAAACATTGCTTATTTTTTTAAAAGGTAATTCCCAAATCATCAAAGTGATGGATATCTAAAAGCAGTAAAATGTTTTCCACAGATGGCTCAACATTACAGAAACTCAGGCTCCAGTGACGACAGCACTGATCATCGTAATATTGATCCTCCTCATTTTCAAAGTCCGTGAAAAGTCTACATTTTCTATTGTGACAAAACACTTTTTTTTGTGTTCAGAGAAACAAACTATTGTAAAAAAATAATAAATAATTGCCTTTTAAAGTTAGTTAATATTAATTATAAAGTTTAATTGTTAAAATTGTTACAGGTGGTGGGAATGGACCTGTTGCGAAGCGGTAAGATTTTCTTCCTTCGTTTCTATTAGTTGCCAAAATGATAATTATTAAGTAAAGTCAAGTGAACTTTACTGCCATTCTACCATATGTATACACTTACAAAGAACTTAAATGTCATGCACACAACATTGCACATGTAAACAAACATAAGCATGTAAACAAGACATTAAGGGCATATAAGCTTGTGCATCTAACATATCCTGCTCTATAATTTATATATTCTTACATATACACTACTGTACACACAGGAGAACCTAGTTCTATAGTTGACATAAATCATGTACATAAACCTTGTGGACATATTGGAAATGTAGAAAAACTTGCTGAAAAATGTAGTAGATATAAACATAGAATACCAATAGCAAGCTGATTGATCATTAAATCTGTTTTGCAGATCAGGTCATGATGTCACCCTCATTAATGAAGGTCCTCCAGCAGTTTACCAGCTGAACACTGAAAGAAAATACATTGATGGAAACAATAAAAAGCTCAGACAGTGGACTTTTGGAGAAATGGACAAAAACAAACAGAACAAAGTCCTTCTGATGGTGGGCGAAACTGGCACTGGGAAAACAACACTCATCAACACCATGATCAACCACTTACTGGGAGTGAAGTTTGAGGATCAAGAGTTTTATCAAATCACTGAAGAAGAACAGGAAGATCAATCCCAATCCCAGACCTCTGAGATCACAGTTTATGAGGTGTTTGTTAAAGAAAACCCAACATCTCTGACCATCATCGACACTCCAAGTTACGGACACACTAAAGGATTCGAGAAAGATGGAGAGATTGCAGAATATCTGAGCAGATTATTTGCAGATGAGGATGGGGTTCATTATATTGACGCAGTGTGTTTTGTGATGAAGGCGTCTCAGAATCGACTCTCTGGAAAAGAGCATTACATCTTTCACTCAGTTCTGTCTCTGTTTGGTAGAGATATTGAGAACAACATAGTGTTTCTGTTCACTCATTCAGATGGAGGACCACCAGCAGATGCTCTCAATGCCATCGATAAAGCAGAAATACTCTGCAGAAGAGACAGCAGAGGAAAACCTGTTCACTTCTTGTTTAACAACCGACAAGAGGAGAAAAAGGATGATGTGTATGAGCACGTGTTTAGGTCAGCCTGGGAAATGGGAGAGAGAAGCATCAATGAGTTCTTCAAAATCCTGGAAGAGAAGAACAGAAAAAGTCTTCAGATGACTTTAGAGGTTATGAAGGAGAGAACAAGACTTGATGCTTGTGTCTGTAATCTGAAAGAGCGAATTCATGAGAAGGAGAAAACAACTGATGAACTGACTCAGATTCGGAAAGCTCTTAAAGAGAACAGAGAGAAGATTATAAACCATAAAAACTTTCAGTTTACAGTTAATAAAGTTGTCAAAAAAAAAGTTCCCATTGTGAATAAACCACTGTGGAACAGCAAAGCCACCTGCTGCTCCGTCTGTGAGGAAAACTGTCATGAATGGGGTTGCTCTTGGGTCTCTTCTGATAATCTCCAATTGTGTTATGTCATGAAAAATGGCTACTGCACTGTGTGTTCAGGAAAGTGTCATTACAGCAAACACATCAGAGAGAACAAAAAGTATGTGACCAAGACAGAGGAAGTCACAATGACATTTAATAAGCTTCAACAGCAACATGAAGTCAGTAAACAAAAACCAGGAATCAGCTTTGATAAGAAAATCTATGAAAATACCAAAAAGGAATATGAAGAAATCATGAAAGAGTATCGGTGTAAAACAGAGATAGAATATAAACTGATCAGAGATCTGGAGAACAATAAATCTAAAAAGTCAAAACCACTGCATGAAGCTTATATCAGCATCATGAGACTCTGTGACATCGCACTAAAAGCAGACAGCGCTTTCACTCTTCAGCATCTGGATTTCCTGATTCCCAGACTGAAGGAGGAAGAGGGAAAAGAGGAATGGGTGAAGAACCTGGAGGAGCTGAAGAAAACTGGAGAAGAGCAGAAAAACACAGGAGCCGTACATCATCTGATGGATTTCAGCAAGCGAACATGGAACCAATTTGTCAGTCGTATAACTGATGAAAATGAATAAGAGCAACAAATATGAAAGGACCGGATGACAAAAGATGAAAAAGCAGAGCAGATAATGATCCATCAAGGAAATACTAAATAATAAAACCATAATAATTATTACAAGAGTAAAATAGATTAATAATACTTTAGATTAATAAACAGCATTCTGTAAAACCGACAAGTGATTTTATTAAATTACTTAATTTTCTATACAGTATGACACACGTAAGTTATTGTTTGTAAATGTTCTGAATCTTTAATTATTGTTTGTTAACACTTTACAACAAAGCTCCATTTGTTAAAATCAGTTCACTAAACTGACAGTGACAACTACTGTAAAGCATTTACACATCTTAGATAATGTATAAAGACTCATTTTAATCAAAAGCTGTTTAATAGATGTGATAACCTTGTTGAATTTATGATATGACACTTAAATCAAATCACTTTTATTGTCACATCAGCAGCAGCATGTGTGCTATGATGACTGAAAAAGAATGAGAAAACATAACCAGACATGTTGATTGTTAGACTGTAAAACCCAACAGTCAGCTTTATCAAATGAAATGAGTGTAGTTAACTCAAAATGTACTGAAAGTTATCTCTACTCATTTGAAAAGAGTTTTGAACTCAGTGTTGAAGGTAATGAGTTAATTAAATACCTCATTACTAGGGTCAGACGGAATCTGCGGACGTTTTTTGCTATTTCTGCTGAGAGTTTTGGTAAAAATCTGGGGATTTCTGCGGAATTATTTTGGGAGTATCATAACTAAAACCTTAATATGTGAAATAAAAAATAATACCTTATTAACTTTTATTTAATGTTTAAAATGCAAATCCAATCAGATTCACATTATTTGGTAAACAAAGCAAGTCTCTCATATAATATCTCTACTAAAAGACAAAAAATATGACTGTACAAACGGCATTGTACATAAATCAGATGAACATTTTCATATTAGTCAATAATTTTACTGAACTTAATAAAAAAACTGAATAAATTTAGATGTACACACACTTACTCAAGTAAATAAACAGAATTAATGATGGCCTAAAAATCTGCACACAGATTCCATGTGGGCCTACTCATTACTTCAACTTATATGGAGTAAGAACTAATATAGATTAGGCTTTTAACTCAAATGGTTGTAGCAATCCATTTCCTCAAATGGTTTGAGTTACCTTCACTTAATGTGTTTTACAGTGTACAAATTGTATTTTATAATTGTTTAGCAATTGTATTAGTTTGAAACACTTATTTACTCTGGACGTTTATGTACTATTAAACACTACTTAAATATTCTCATGCCAATATCATGAAAATACCATACATCATGTTAAAGGTTTCAGCAATTACACTGAAAACTTCATATGCTTAATTTCCATTAACTTTTCCATTCCATTTTGTTGATTAAGCTGTTGTTGATTACAGTAATGAGCATTTAAGGTGTAAAATGAGTTCATGTATGTGGATGTAGATGCAAACTGAATGTCTTTTTGTTTTAATGATTAGTGTTTGAGATGGGTTTGGATGCAGACCTGGTGCAGTGCAATCTAAGCTGCATCCAATGCTTTTTAATGCGCTCACCTAACCCCATCCCTACTCACTCCATTGAGTGCACTGTGTCTGACAGCGATGCAATCTCAGCTTGCATCAAAAAGACTACATCCAGATACTATTGGAGAACTTGAATTCACTTTCTTTTCTCTTTATAAACTGAAAACCATGGAACTACTGTGTCTTTTATTTAAAGTACTTTAAGTTCTGTTAAGTGAAGAATTATGTTTTCAGATTTGAACATATTTTGATTAATACTGAAATGCACTTTTTATTTTCAAACAAGTCAAAACGATAATTTGAAGGGCTATTTATAAATTTAGCTGTAGAAAATTACAATCTGAATGAAAAGTTATATTTTCTTTTTCAATAGCTGAATGAGTAATTCTTTATACTGCATTCATTATGCTGAGTATTTCTGTATTTTATTGCCATCTGCTGGTCAGTAAGATAAAGCACACTACTCTTCAGATTGTACACCTTAGACCAGTGGTCTCAAACTCAATTCCTGGAGGGCCACAGCTCTGCATAATTAGCTCCAACCACCTACAACTCACACCAGCTTAATAGTCTTTAGTAGTCTTGAACGCCTTGATTATTTGGATCAAGTGTGTTTGGTTAGGGCTGGAGCAAAACTGTGCAGAGCTGCGGCCCTCCAGGAATCCAGTTTGAGACCTATGCCTCAGACAAGCTAACTTAATAGCAGCAGGTTAAGGCTGATTTATACTTCTGCGTCAAATGATTGGCATGAGCCACAGCGCCAGCCTCAGGAGTATAGCATTTATACTTGGGTGTGCTGTTTGTGTTGTTTGGCAATAAAACTTCCAAAAAGCTAGATGGCTGTAGGTGTTAATGTTGTTAACTCTGTGTTGAGTTTCTTTGTGGCTGTTTATTTTTTTCCCATTTTCTGTTTAACGGAGAGATTTTCTCAACACATTTCTAATCATAATAGTTTTAATAACTCATCTCTAATAACTGATTTATTTTCTCTTTGCCATGATGACAGTAAAAAATATTAGACTAGATATTCTTCAAGACACTTCATATAAATACAGCTTAAAGTGACATTTAAAGGCTTAACTAGGTTAATTGGGTTAACTAGGCAGGTTAGGGTAATTAGGTAAGTTATTATATAATGATGGTTTGTTCTGTAGAAGTAAGCTTAAAGGGGCTAATAATTTTGACCTTAAAATGGTTGTTAAAGAATCAAAAACTGCTTTTATTCTAGCCGAAATAATACAAATAAGACTTTCTCCAGAAAAAAAAAAATTATCAGACATACTCTGAACACTTCCTTGCTCCATTAAACATCATTTGGGAAATATTTAAAAAAGCAAAAAACTATTCAAAGGAGGGCGAGTAATTCTGACTTCATCTGTATACAGCTGTTAGCACCAAATAGCATTAACATAACAGAACAAACATTATCAACATTAACAGAATCATTAGAATGAATGTGTTCTGACATCTGCCAGAGAGAATCAAATATTGGACTGCTAACACTAAACACACTGCAGCCTGAGAATGTGTTAAAGCGTCAACATAGTCTTAGGCCCCGTTTACACTAATGCATTTTAGTTTTAAAACGCATAAGTTTTGCTACGGTTACGCCATCCATCCACACTACACCGGAGTTCTTGAATGCCAAAAATGGAGCGTTTTGAAATTGCTGGAGAGGCCGTTTTCATTCTTAGTGTGGATGGGGGAAAACGGAGACATCTGAAAACGGAGGCGGTGTTGCTGAGATTCGCTACCTGATTGGGGCTTTTGTGTCATTGCGTATCCTTCCCTTATTCGTCAAGCCCCTATCACATGACTATAACACATGGCTTTAAAGCTACCGCAAGACAGCAGACCAGGGGTCTGTTCTTCGTACCTTCCTTAAATGATCTGAGATGATTTGGCAGATCCTGGATCTTTTAATCTTGATAACTGATCTCTCGTTAATTTGGTTCTTCAAACAAGTTCGCAAATCAGATTAGAATGTCTGGATAAACTGATCTGAGATCACTGCGTGTGTTGTGAAGGACAGATCTATCAATCCTCGAAATCATGATCAGCAATGCAACGATTGGCTGACGGCACAGCAGCGTAATGACATCATCTGATTAATATTCAATTATCCATGTGAGCAAAATTACATCAAATTAGCAGTAAACGGCTTGTTAAATATGACACGCAATAACCTTCCACATTTGTTGTGAGCTGCAGGCTTTACACTTTCATGTGTCAAGAGTATTCATCATGTATTTCAATGCAAATCAATGTATTTAGTTCTACATTTAGAGAAGATTTTCTTTATTATAGTAGCCGTTTTTTAATCGCTGTATGGAATAACTGGTTGTTTACAAAAGCATTTTGATATTGGTAAAGGCATCTGCAACTTTTGTGAAGCATAATCACTAGCATATTGTCAAAACATGTTTATGACTGCATTAATGTATTATTTCTTTTTTTTAAAGTCACATATTCTGCAATATTATTATACACAAATTGTACACAAATTGTAATTGTAAGCGATCTAAAAAGTTCATATCAATAAGTTTTCTCTTTGAACCAGCAGGTGTCGGTCTTTGTACTTTAATTTCGGCGGTGCAGATTGCATACGTTTTATTAATATATATATAACTTTATTTATTTTAATAATAACTATAACTTTATATATAGTTAAAAAATATGTAGGTCCTACCATTTCCCAAGTGTATATAACTACTACTGTAAGAAAATATCAGAATTCGGAACATACTTTCTCTATTATCTTTGCTTGAACTGAGCCAATCTAATCCTGTTTATATTGAACCTGCAAATCTTTAAAGAGCCCATATTATACATGAAATAGGGTCATATCTTGGTTGTAAGGGTCTCCAACAACAGTTTAATATGCATGCAAGGTCAAAAAACACTTTCATGGTCTTATAATCTGCATTTATTTTTACCTAATTATCCCAGCGACTCCCGTATGAATCGTCCAGTGATTCATTTGTTCCCAAACCCCTCCTTAGCGCGAAGCTAATCTGCGCTGATTGGACTAATGACAGTCTGTTGCGATTGGTCGACTGCCTTCAGTCAGAGAGTGAAATGCCCAATAGCTAATCAGCAATATAAAAAGTAATCACAGTTCATACACGCTCAATAGTGTAGGCGTGGACTTTAGCTGCCACACACACATCTCTGGACGACAACGCTCCCGCTTCCGCCCGCACCCGCCAGGTTTAGCCTGAACCCGACCGCTCCCGCTTATATGAAGAATTTGTTGTCCGGGTGCCCGACCCGCCCCGTTTTCTGCCCGCCGCGACCGATCCCGCTAAAGAGCGGGGTAGAACAAAACCAAAAATCATCCAGCTATACAGTCCAGACAGCCAAGCTGTCTGTATAAACACACACACAGCACCAAGCACACACACACAATGTTCTCTCTCTCTCTCTCTCTCTCTCTCATACGCTCGCGTGCGCACTAACACACACAAGCACCAAGCACACACACAAGCAAAGCTCTCTCTCTCTTTCTCATTCGCATAGCAATATCTGTGATATTGCTAGACTGCCCGCTCTCGTCCCAATTTAAACCCGTTACCGACCGCTCCCGCGATTTATTCGGAAATTTATTCCCGCGCCGCAGAAATCTGGCGCGGGGACAGCCGCGGGTATGCAGACCTCTACCACGGAGCTCCATAAACAAAGCAGCACGCGTCGCGTTTTTAATGTGACTTTGCACGCGATAAAAGAATATAGCCAGTTAACCTGATACAGTACACACGGTTACAAGTAACAAATCACAACTAAATACATTTGCAAGCTAGAGTCAACGAGGCAACAACTTTAATCGCACGTACTTACACTTGAGAAATGGAGGAAGAAAAATCCATCCTAAAGTCCATCAGTAAGTTACTCTTTACTGATCCTTCCTTTAACAAACGCTGATGAAGTATTCTTTGTAGCATGTAGTTTGCAGAAGTTTCCAGTAGTTTCCAACTGCTTGGTTATTATGCTGAGGTTTCATCTTTGGGTAGAAACTCAATATAATATCCATCTGCAGTGTGACTTCAATCCACCGGCATGTTTGTGTGCGTGTGTTTGTGGGTGTGTGTGTGTGTCTGGGTTTCTGCGTCAGAGGGCGGGGCCTCAGGTTTGAAATCTCCCGGGTTTGCGCGTGCACGTAAATAACTTGGTTTCGCCAAAACCACTGAAACACTGAAACACAAAAACACTGTACTCTTACAGATTTAAGCCTTAGCTGGATACTTCACTTCACTTAGAGCTGTGTTACACACTACATGGAGGGGAATTTTCAAAAACCCATAATATGGGCTCTTTAAATGCACAAAACTGCAAGAAAAATGGGTAACACTTTACAATACCAGTACATGGATAATAATGTATTAATATCTAAACTAAACATTACTTTATTATGAACAATTAATAAGTAAATGCATGAGCTAATCATGAACTAACTTTAACCACAACATGAGCCACATGTGTTCATGTGTGAATAACAGCCACCTTAATTACTTGTTAGTACATGATTGATTGTTAATTAATGTATACATTTCCTCATTAGTTCATGCTTAATTTAACCTTTATGAACTCACAATATGTTAATGTAAAATTATGTCCTGACTTTACTTGGAAAAGTCAAGTTATGAAATATGAAAAATAATAAACATAAACAAAACTATAAAATCGTACAACCAAAATCTATAATTGTTGGATCTATAATTGTTATGCAGTTAAAAAAGAACATATGAATGAGTCTGAATGCAAAAGAAGCCTACTTAAGCAATGCACTGCTTTTGTTGTGCTCTGAAATACAACATTTGAATGTTTGTAATAAATAATAATAATTAAAAAAAGCCTATTGTACAATGCACTGATGTTATGTAGTTTTAAGATACAATATATTAACATTTTAATAAAGAAAAAGCCAACGTGGGAGCAAAAATAAAGCAAATGGGCTCTTATATGCAGTTATGTCATCACTCATATTGCAAGTCAAATCTCTCCAGCCCTTCGTTTGGGATGCTTTTCATGAACTGACCCCCATGACAAACTAATTGAATAGCCCTGCTCTATACTAATTAAACACACAATCTTTCATCATTATCAATATCTACTGTTTTCAAACAGAAGCAGCACATGACAAGGGAAAACATTTATTGAATGTAAGAACAAAGAGAGGAGAATAAAGAGGGATCATAAATAAATTGTAAATTTCAAATAAAACTATTTAAATTAGATAAAGAGACACACATTCTGAATTCATGCACAAGCCTTTTTTTAAGAAAGGTTTAGAAAAATCTACAAACTTCTTCATAAAAATCAAAACTTTAAACTCAGATTACAGGATAGAGTGTTTTTCCACCATTCACAGCTAGCAACAAGTGAGACATCATAGTTAGAAATGATCATTTCAGGCAAACATCCAGACAGCAGACATTCAACCAAACACCGCCTGCATCATCAACAAAAATGTTTTAGCCAAACCAAAAGAATGTAGACAAAAACATAACCTTTACTAAAAATGAAACAAATCATATAGCACAGGTCTACAGTGAGCAAATAATAGTTTTTGATACCGTAGCCTAGTTACATGTATATAGATCCAGCAAAATAAAGAATAAAGCATAAAGCTGAATAAAACTTTGTGCCTTTTAAAACTGAATGAAAAATAATAATAATAATAATCACGTTGGTCTTTGGTTTGTGCAGAAGTTGTACATTGTTTACTGTTTTATAATATAACATGTTTCTATTTTTGATTGGTCATCTAGCCATTGCCAAAGTATCTCTAGACACCAACTCTTACTGTAGTTCCTGATGGGAAGGAGAACTAGTTTCTGCTGTTCAATTTTAGTTTTAGTTCTGTTTTGAATGAAGCTGCTGAACCGGACATTAAATCAATCTTCCATCTATCTATAGCTGCAAGATACAATCTCAGAAACCCTTTAAAAATATACAGAATTCTGCAATAAATGTTCAAAAAACATAGTCTATAGTAAGTTGGATTATGGATGTGATCTGATGTAATTTAGCAAGCAAAAATGAAACCAGTTTTTTCTGGATGTGAACTGAACTGTTAAAAATAAAGAACTGCAACACATGAAAACACAAGATGAAAAAGCTGAACAGATGCGTCACAATTATTGCATAATAAAACCTGACGGGTTTATCAGAAGCTGTTGATTAAGATTAAGACTTATTGATTAAATAAGATTAAGATGGACTGGGAATCAGAATTTCAATTGAATTTCTCTGAAGTTTTCTGGGAGGAGGCCTTATTGCACCAGATTATCACTTATAAGGTATTCCACAAACTACACTACAGCATAGAATAACTCTCTACCCTGACAAAATAGATAATGAATGTAACACGTGATCAAAGACTGTGTGCAACTGCACAAATGTATTTCTTTGTGTTTAGCAGAACAAAGACATGTTTTGCAGAACTGAAACAACTCTCCACCCTGAGAACTCTGCTCTGAGAACTCTTCCCTGAGAACTCTGCTCTGAGAACTCTTCCCTGAGAACTCTGCTCTGAGAACTCTTCCCTGAGAACTCTGCTCTGAGTTCCCCTTCGCTTGGGGAACTTCAGTGCTATACAGTGGATTTGATTTGAAATCCACGTATGGGAGGATTCGGTTCAGAAGCCGCCTGTCTGAAAGAGTATTGAACGGGCCAATGAATTAAATGAACCACCCTAGTTGTCCCCTGCTCTCCAGCGGGCACTCTTGCAGATCTGAGGGTTCAGCGAGTGATAATTCGTCGCCCACGGGCCCGCGGACCTCCCGCTCCTCTAAGCGCTCCATCCAAGCTTCGGGAGGGGGAAGCGATCCGTCTTACAGATGGTCGCCCTTACCTCTGATGACACCGAAGACCAGACGTCCACCGCGGCATCGGAGGGTGGGCTTTCATTGTCCATGGATGATCCAGACCCCTCGCCCCCTTCGGGCTGGTGAGCGCTGTCAAATGGATCCTGAAACGGACATGTTAGCCGTGCTTTCCCGGGCTGCTTCGGCCGTGGGTTGGAGATGATTTATCCTCCAGCTCCGCGGCCGGACCGACTAGAGGGGTGTTCCCTTCTTCCCGGAGGTGCACAGTAGGCTCACGCGGTCTTGAAGGGCACTTTTTTCTGCTCGTGCTGCGTGTCCCTCCACCCTCACCACTTTTGACGGTGGAACAGCCAGGGGGTATGTGGCGATTCCTCAGGTTGAGTGCGCGATGTCGGTCAATCCGCGTGACGCCTCTTCTTGGTGTTCTCCGCCTCGTCCCCCATCCAAAGCCTGTAAGTTATCTGCCTCCCTCTGAGCTAGAGCTTACAAGGCTGCGGGCCAGGCTGCTTCCGCCTTGCAGGCGATAGCCACCTACCAGCGCTACCAAGCGCAGGCGCTGGCCGAGCTGCACGAGGGTGGGTCCAACCCAGGCTCATGAGCTTCGCACTGCCGCCGACTGAGCTCTTCGGACTACTGAGTCCGCTGCGTGTGCGTTGGGGAGGACGATGTCCACACTAGTGGTCCAGGAGCGCCACCCCCGGCTGATATGTGCAAAGTCGACAAAGTCCGCTTTCTTGACTTCCCCATATCCCAAGCCGGCATGTTTGGCGACACCGTCTGTGAATTCACCCAGGAATTCAAGGCGGTGAGAGAGCAGTCTGATGAGTGATGTCTCATCGACGGTCAGTAGCCCGCTCCGCCCGTGCCATTCATACCTGCTCATCGCCGAAGGCTCCCGCCTACGAGAGCTGCACCGCCCCCGCACACGCCTCTGGCGAAGCGAGTGCGTCGAGCTCTTCGGAAGCAGGCAGCCCCCCCTGCCCAGAACGCTGCTAAGTCCGGCAACGGACTGCGAAGCGTCCCTGGGACAGGCCATTTGGAGAAGAGGGAACTTGCTCTTTCCCCGCTGGAGGGCGGGGCCCCATTGCCAACGGCACTTTTTACTGCCATGAAAACATCAATGAAAGAGCACTTTTCCACTTCCTCGGATGTGACAGCACGAACCTTGCCAGTCTGGGACGCACTGCCTTCCGGCTCGCAGGTTCTACGTGCTTCGTCAGTGGCTCACGAGCGCTGGGGGGATGGTCTCCTTTCCCTCAGCCCTCTAGCCCCCTCTCCGGAGTCAGGGTGCGGAGCCAGAGCGAATCGTTCTCTTCCGCGGGACCCTCGCGCTTCCTGGACCAGCACACGCACTCAGCGCTACCCCACCGCTGGTACGTCAGTGATTGTAACGATGACTCTATTAGCAAGGGCTCTGCCTGCCTGGTTAGCGCAGGCCAGCCCCTCGCGGTGGCTCATACGCACAATCAGACTCGGTTACGCGATTCAGTTCGCGAAGCGCCCCCCCCCCCCAAGTTCACGGGCGTGTATTTCACCAGGGTCAACCCCCGTCCGCCCCTGTCTTGCGAAGGGAGATTGCTGCCCTCCTGGTGAAGGGTGCAATTGAGCCAATTCCTCCAGCTGAGATGGAGAGTGGGTTTGATTATGATTATAATGATTATGCGAATGTCCATGTCTGGTGTACCGTGTCGCGGCTCTAAGCGGGTCATCCAGTGCCTCAGTCAAAGTTAATTAAGTGCGCGTGGTTATTAGTCTGTGTACAAGCTCGGCACTTTAAACTAGCACACAGTTTGCTGAGAAACTATTTAAAGACACGAATGATTGTGTACTCTTTGCTTGGTCTGAGGCCGAGGCTGAATGCTCATCTTCTCATGCAGCGTCTCTGTCTGCCTGCATGTTCCCAAACACAGCGTGGGCGAGCTCTTGGCTCCGCCCCCTTGATACATTGGGCGGGAATTTGAAACTAATTTTCATGTGAAGCTACATGCCCCTAAAACAGCAAACTGTACACGCCACCAAAATAACACTTTTGAACACATTATAATAAAAACATCTGAACTGTGTGTTGAACCTAAACTGGCACACTCAGAAGAACCATAATACTAATATTAAATCATAAAAAAGGGTAAACTATGTGCCCTTTAAGGACAATATTATTAGCCCCTTTAAGCTATATATTTTTTGCGATAGTCTACAGAACAAACCATCGTTACACAATAACTTGCCTAATTACCCTAATCCATCTAGTTACCCAAATTAACCTAGTTAAGCCTTTAAATGTCACTTTAAGCTGTATAGAAGTGTCTTGAAGAATATCTAGTCTAATATTAATTACTGTCATCATGACAAAGATAAAATAAATCAGTAATTAGAGATGAGTTATTAACACTATTATGATTAGAAATGTGTTGAAAAAAAATCTGCTCTCAGTTAAACAGAAATTGGGGAAAAAAAGATACAGTGGGGCTAATAATTCTGACAACAGTATATGTGCTCACTCGAACCATAATAATCTAATGAGTCCACGCGGTGATATGATGAGATATTCTGTTTGACCTTAGAATGAAACAGGAACTTTCCACCCCTATAATGTCAAATAACCAAATCTGTAACCAACAAGTCTTGCAGAAAGTACCTGTCTGGGTTGTGGCTGTGATGTGTGACTTTTCTATACAGAAAGGAGAACTGGAGCAGATGAAAAAAAAATTGCTTTATTGTCTTACTAATCACTCTTTTCTTTTGATTTATTTTGTGATTAGAGGAATATGCTCCTATTTGCCTCACTATTCATTCTTTACTATTTGTGTTTTTATCAGATATGATGACGTCCAACCATTATTCCTGATACAGCTCTAAAACCACAAGAGCTGTATGTGGTTGTTGGCTGTAGACAGAGCTGCTGAGATAATGGGAAGTTAGGCTTCCCCTAGACGGGTGCATACATAGGTCAAGAGTTCATAGACAGGGCTAGGAGGAAAAGCAGATTTGGGTAGACACAGCACTCATATGCAGCATCTTTTGTACTGCTGTGTGTTTGTATGTCTGATTTATGATGCTTTAATCAAATCAATATTATCCTGATATGTTTATAAGGAAGTTATGATACTCAGCTGTACTTTTATGATTATTTTGTTACAGTTGCTGCGCCCAGATGTCAGCAAAATTGTGTCAAGTATGTCAAGAAAGGGATTGGAAGGGGTGATACTTTCACTTCCCCTTTGTTTCTGTGTGCAGATGTGTCTCTGTGTGCAGACCCCATAGACCTTTGAGAGATGATTCTGCCTGAGACCGCTCTGGTTACTAAAGTAACCCTCGTTCCCGAGGAGGGAAACGGAAATGCTATCAGTGAATTTATTTAATTCACGAATGGGAATTTCGTTTCAGAAAGCCAATCGTCTGAAAGAGTCTATAACGGGCCAATGAAATGCCAAATGAGTTGGCAGCGTAAGCTTGCGCACCTGGAACCTATTGCCAATTAGCTCCGTATATAAGGACAGGGAAAGCAAGGAAACGCCATCCTTTTAAGCTGAAGAGACTAACACTTACAGCTAAGGAACAATCATTATGGCGATGCTATATAGCATTTCCGTTCCCCTCCTCGGGGAACGAGGGGAACTTTAGTAACCAGAGCGTTCCCCTTCGAATGGGGAACTTCAATGCTATCAGTGGATTTATTTATTAATCCACAAATGGGGAAATGTCTGAAAAACGCCATAATGACTGCACCTTACCTTCGCCTCCGATGAGAGGATAGCCAGGCATAGCGTGAGCGCTCCTGCATCAAAGAGAGGCGCGGTCCTCCAACGTGTCCCTGGCCCTTACTTATCCCACTTCAAAAGAAGTTTTACGGATTTAGATATATTTTTTGGGAAGTCGCAAGCGTCTAGATAATTCTAGGAAAATACGACAGTACGTTGGGAAAGCGCGCAGTCCCGATAGGGAAGACGCTGCGGAGGCCATCTGCTTCCCAATGGGGGAGATATGATGGCAAAAAATACATATGGACTAGCCCTGAAAAGGGGGAGTACGCATATAATAAGATGGTTAGCGGAGAGGGAAGACACGGGTCAGTGCTGCGGGCTTCGGAGGAATCTGCAGGGCTCACCTGATGGGGAACTTAACAGACAGATAAAAAGGCTTACGTATCTACATGTTAGAGAGAATGGCGCAGCAAGCATGTTTCAACACCTTAACCAAATTGTTTCCTCAATCACCAAAGATTACCTAATACCCTTGAGGAAACCGGCTCTACTCGCAGATTGTAAAACCTTGCAAATGTATTAGGTGTCGCCCAGCCCGCAGCTCTACAGATGTCTGTTAGAGAGGCGCCGCGTGCATGCACCCAAGAGGATGCGATGCTCCGAGTGGAGTGCACACGCACTCTTGGGGGACACGGCTCGCCTTGGCTCTGATAAGCGAGAGAGATGGCATGAACTAACCAATGGGCCAACTTTTGTTTCGATACGGCACTTCCCTGCTGCCGATCGCCATAACAGACGAAGAGCTGCTCAGATGATCTAAATCTCTTAGTGCGGTCCAGATAATACACAAGCGCGAACTGGAAAGTATGAAAGGGGCTCGGTCTGCCTCCTCCGGGGGCAGCACTTGCAGGCTCACTACCTGGTTAGAACCTTGGGCACATTTCCCGGGCAGGGTCTCAGGAACGTGAGAGTTATCCAGCCCGAATTACAGGCACGAGTCACTGACCAAAAAATGCCTCCAGGTCCCCGACCCTCTAATCGATATCAACGCGACCAGCAAAGCTGTCTTCAGGGACAGAAATCTTAAAGATACTGAGTCGAGGATTGAAAGGATCTGACGCAGGCTTGTGAGAACGAGGGCAAGATCCTAAGAGGGCATGAGAGGGGGCGGGGTGATTAATTCGCCTAGCGCCTCTGAAGAACCGGATGATGAGGTTATGCCTTCCCACGGTGCTGCCAGCCACCACGTAATGAGAGCGGAGATGACAGCCACATTACCTTGAGTGTGGAGGGCGACAGTCTGCTCTCCAGCTTCTCTTGGAGTAAAGAAAGCACAATGCTATTCTGGCAAATTTCGGGGGTCTTCTCTGCGAGAGACGCACCGTCCAATGAATAGACTCCACTTCAGGGCATAGGCGTACTTGAGGAGGGGGCTCTTGCCCGAGTGACGATATTTACCATCGCAATCGGTAGGTTACCAAAGTCTTCCTCGCGTCTAAGGACCACACGAGGAGGTTCCAAAGATCGTGATGAGGGTGCCAGATGGTGCCCTGTCCCTGAGAGAGTAGGTGCTCTCTCAAAGGGATCTGCCAGGGGAGGGCCCTCGCGAGGAGGGAGAGCTCTGACATCCAGGTCCGGTTGGGCCAGAGGGGCCAACCAGCAACATGTTCCTCGTCCTCCCTGATCTTGCACAGAAACTGACTCAAGAGGAGCAGACGGCGGGCAAGTTGAGACATGCAGCAAGAGCAAAT